TTCACCCCCCTTGGCATTTTTCCTATTTTGTTGCCTTACAACCTGGAATTAAAATTGATTTTTTGGGGGTTTGTACCATTTGATTTACACAACATGCCTACCACTTTGAAGATTCCAAATAATTTTTATTGTGAAACAAACAAGAAATGAGACAAAAAAAAACAGAAAACTTGAGCGTGCATAACTATTCACCCCCTCAAAGTCAATACCTTGTAGAGCCACCTTTTGCAGCAATTACAGCTGCAAGTCTCTTGGGGTATGTCTCTATATTTTTTTATTTTATTTTTTTATTTAACCTTATTTAACCAGGTAAGCCAGTTGAGAACAGGTTCTCATTTACAACTGCGACCTGGCCAAGATAAAGCAAAGTAGTGCAATAAAAACAACACAGAGTTACATATGGGGTAAAAAAAAAAAAACATAAAGTCAGAAATACAACAGAAAATATATATACAGTGTGTGCAAATGTAGCAGGTTATGGAGGTAAGGCAATAAATAGGCTATAGTGCAGAATAATTACAATAGTATTAACACTGGACTGCTAGATGTGCAAGAGATGATGTGCAAATAGAGATACTGGGGTGCAAAAGAGCAAAATAAATAACAATATAGGGATGAGGTAGTTGGGTGGGCTAATTTCAGATGGGCTGTGTACAGGTGCAGTGATCGGTAAGGTGCTCTGACAACTGATGCTTAAAGTTATTGAGGGAGATAAGAGTCTCCAGCTTCAGAGATTTTTGCAATTCGTTCCAGTCATTGGCAGCAGAGAACTGGAAGGAATGGCGGCCAAAGGAGGTGTTGGCTTTGGGAATGACCAGTGAGATATACCTGCTGGAGCGCAGACTACGGGTGGGTGCTGCTATGGTGACCAATGAGCTAAGATAAGGCGGGGATTTGCCTAGCAGTGATTTATAGATGGCCTGGAGCCAGTGGGTTTGACGACGAACATGTAGTGAGGACCAGCCAACAAGAGCGTACAGGTCACAGTGGTGGGTAGTGTATGGGGCTTTGGAGACAAAACGGATGGCACTGTGATAGACTACATCCAATTTGCTGAGTAGAGTGTTGGAGGCTATTTTGTAAATGACATCGCCGAAGTCAAGGATCGGTAGGATAGTCAGTTTTACGAGGGCATGTTTGGCAGCATGAGTGAAGGAGGCTTTGTTGCGAAATAGGAAGCCGATTCTAGATTTAACTTTGGATTGGAGATTCTTTATGTGAGTCTGGAAGTTGAGTTTACAGTCTAACCAGACACCTAGATATTTGTAGTTGTCCACATACTCTAGGTCAGACCCGTCGAGAGTGGTGATTCTAGTCGGGTGGGCGGGTGCTAGCAGCGTTCGATTGAAAAGCATGCATTTAGTTTTACTAGTGTTTAAGAGCAGTTGAAGGCTACTGAAGGATTGTTGTATGGCATTGAAGCTCGTTTGGAGGTTTGTTAACACAGTGTCCAATGAAGGGCCAGATGTATACAAAATGGTGTCGTCTGCGTAGAGGTGGATCTGAGAGTCACCAGCAGCAAGAGCGACATCATTGATATATACGGAGAAAAGTGTCGGCCCAAGAATTGAACCCTGTGGCACCCCCATAGAGACTGCCATAGGTCCAGACAACAGGCCCTCCGATTTGACACACTGAACTCTATCTGAGAAGTACTTGGTGAACCAGGCGAGGCAGTCATTTGAGAAACCAAGGCTATTTAGTCTGCCAATAAGAATGCGGTGGTTGACAGAGTCGAAAGCCTTGGCCAGGTCGATGAAGACGGCTGCACAGTACTGTCTATTATCAATCGTGGTTATAATATCGTTTAGGACCTTGAGTGTGGCTGAAGTGCACCCGTGACCAGCTCGGAAACCGGATTGCATAGCGGAGAAGGTACGGTGGTATTCGAAATGGTCGATGATCTGTTTGTTAACTTGGCTTTCGAATACTTTCGAAAGGCAGGGCAGGATGGATATAGGTCTGTAGCTTGGCACATCTAGCCACTGGGATTTTTGCCCATTCTTCAAGGCAAAACTGCTCCAGCTCCTTCAAGTTGGATGGGTTCCACTGGTGTACAGCAATCTTTAAGTCATACCACAGATTCTCAATTGGATTGAGGTCTGGGCTTTGACTAAGCCATTCCAAGACATTTAAATGTTTCCCCTTAAACCACTTGAGTGTTGCTTTAGCAATATGCTTAGGGTCATTGTCCTGCTGGAAGGTGAACCTCCGTCCCAGTCTCAAATCTCTGGAAGATTTAAACAGGTTTCCCTCAAGAATTTCCCTTTATTTAGCGCCATCCATCATTCCTTCAATTCTGACCAGTTTCCCAGTCCCTGCTGATGAAAAACATCCCCACAGCATGATGCTGCCACCACGCTTCACTGTGGGGATGGTGTTCTCGGGGTGATGAGAGGTGTTGGGTTTGCGCCAGACATAGCGTTTTCCTTGATGGCCAAAAAGCTCAATTTGAGTCTCATCTGAACAGAGTACCTTCTTCCATATGTTTGGGGAGTCTCCCCCATGGCTTTTGGCGAACACCAAACGTGTTTGCTTATTTTTTTCTTCAAGCAATGGCTTTTTTCTGGCCACTCTTCCGTAAAGCCCAGCTCTGTGGAGTGTATGGCTTAAAGTTTTCCTATGGACAGATACTCCAATCTCCGCTGTGGAGCTTTGCAGCTCCTTCAGGGTTGTCTTTGGTCTCTTTGTTGCCTCTCTGATTAATGCCCTCCTTGCCTGGTCCGTGAGTTTTGGTGGGCGGCCCTCTCTTGGCAGGTTTGTTGTGGTGCCATATTCTTTCAATTTTTTAATAATGGATTTAATGGTGCTCCGTGGGATGTTCAAAGTTTCAGATTTTTTTTTATAACCCAACCCTGATCTGTACTTCTCCACAACTTTGTCCCTGACCTGTTTGGAGAGCTCCTTGGTCTTCATGGTGCAGCTTGCTTGGTGGTGCCCCTTGCTTAGTGGTGTTGCAGACTCTGGGGCCTTCCAGAACAGGTGTGTATATATACTGAGATCATGTGACACTTAAGATTGCACACAGGTGGACTTTATTTAACTAATTATGTGACTTCTGAAGGTAATTGGTTGCACCAGATCTTATTTAGGGGCATCATAGCAAAGGGGGTGAATACATATGCACGCACCACTTTTCCGTTATTTAGTTTTTTGAATTTTTTGAAACAAGTAATTTTTTAAATTTCACTTCACCAATTTTGACTATTTTGTGTATGTCCATTACATGAAATCCAAATAAAAATAAATTTAAATTACAGGTTGTAATGCAACAAAATAGGAAAAATGCCAAGGGGGATGAATACTTTTGCAAGGCACTGTATACTGTAGATATAATGATGGTAGACTGTTGATATGCAGACATAATTGATGACCAGGAATAGGGTGGACTTCACCAGAACATCACCTCAAGGACCCTATCCAGGTTTTCCAGCCTGGGGTGACACCAACCAAGATGGCTCTAGGTTTGGTGTGTCCTGTCCATGACCTATGAATGTAGTCACAGAGAATGTGGTTGCGGAGCATGAACACAGCCATTACAGAACACCATTACAGGCACCTTCCTGAAGCCTGTTAATCACTTTCCATCATTCACACTATAAAAATAGATACTTACATTTTACATTTACATTTTAGTCATTTAGCAGACGCTCTTATCCAGAGCGACTTACAGGAGCAATTAGGGTTAAGTGCCTTGCTCAAGGGCACATTTACGTCATTTAGCAGACGCTCTTATCCAGAGCGACTCACCAATTGGTGCGTTCACCCTACAGCCAGTGGGATAATCACTTTACAATTTATTTTTTTTTTGGGGGGGGGGGGGGGGGGGGGGGTGGTAGAAGGATTACTTTATAATTTTAATAATTTAATATAATTTTATCCAACTTGATACGAATAGGCTATCCAATATCATAGTTTAGGCTACATTTAATTGAACAATATGCCTTTTTTTAGGGAAGGAGGTGAGAGACAAGTATTTTAAGATCGGCATAAAACTTTCTTTTTTCTCTGTTGTGGGCAGCCCCTCGAGCCACAACGCTCCATTTGCTCCTTTGCTCTAAAGATACACATGATATCAACACCATACCACTCCTGGTTACTGTGATATCAACACCATACCACTCCGGGTTACTATGATATCAACACCATACCACTCCGGGTTACTATGATAATCAACACCATACCACTCCGGGTTACTGTGATATCAACCAACACTCCTGGTTACTATGATATCAACACCATACCACTCCTGGTTACTATGATTCAACACCATACCACTCCGGGTTACTGTGATATCAACACCATACCACTCCGGGTTACTATGATATCAACACCATACCACTCCGGGTTACTATGATATCAACACCATACCACTCCTGGTTACTATGATATCAACACCATACCACTCCTGGGTTACTGTGATATCAACACCATACCACTCCGGGTTACTATGATATCAACACCATACCACTCCTGGTTACTATGATATCAACACCATACCACTCCGGGTTACTATGATATCAACACCATACCACTCCGGGTTACTATGATATCAACACCATACCACTCCGGTTACTATGATATCAAACACCATACCACTCCGGGTTACTATGATATCAACACCATACCCCCTCCTGGTTACTATGATATCAACACCATACCACTCCTGGTTACTATGATATCAACACCATACCACTCCGGGTTACTATGATATCAAACACCATACCACTCCGGGTTACTATGATATCAACACCATACACACTCCTGGTTACTGTGATATCAACACCATACCACTCCTGGTTACTATGATATCAACACCATACCACTCCTGGTTACTATGATATCAACCACCATACCACTCCGGGTTACTATGATATCACAACACCATACCACTCCTGGTTACTATGATATCAACACCATACCACTCCTGGTTACTATGATATCAACACCATACCACTCCTGGTTACTGTGATATCAACACCATACCACTCCGGGTTACTATGACATCGTCAACACACCATACCACTCCTGGTTACTGTGATATCAACACCATACCACTCCTGGGTTTCTATGATATCAACACCATACCACTCCTGGTTACTGTGATATCAACACCATACCACTCCTGGTACTATGATATCAACACCATACCACTCCGGGTTACTATGATATCAACACCATACCACTCCGGGTTACTAGATATCAACACCATACCACTCCGGGTTACTATGATATCAACACCATACCACTCCTGGTTACTATGATATCAACACCATACCACTCCTGGTTACTATGATATCAACACCATACCACTCCTGGTTACTATGATATCAACACCATACACTCCTGGTTACTGTGATATCAACACCATACCACTCCTGGTTACTATGATATCAACACCATACCACTCCGGGTTACTATGATATCAACACCATACCACTCCGGGTTACATATATCACACCATACCACTCCTGGTTACTATGATATCAACACCATACCACTCCTGGATACTATGATATCAACACCATACCACTCCTGGTTCCTCGGTTACTGTGATATCAACACCATACCACTCCGGATACTATGATATCAACACCATACCACTCCTGGTTTCTATGATCACCACCACTCCGGGTTACTATGATATAACACCACACTCCGGGTTACTATGATATCAACACCATACCACTCCGGGTTACTTTGACTGCATCCACTTTTCCAAACGCCTTCTTCACCATCCTCGTGACTTCAAAAGGGTTTCCCAAATGAACATCCTTAACCAAAAAAAAATGTACTCCAACAAGCATCGATTCATCAGACTCATCACCACCTGGTATGGCAACTGCTGGGCATCCGACCGTAAGGCGCTACAGAGGGTAGTGCGTACGGCCCAGTACATCACTGGGGCCAAGCTTCCTGCCATCCAGGACCTCTATACCAGGCGGTGTCAGAGGAAGGCCCAAAAAATTATCAAAGTTTCCAGCCACCCAAGTCATAGACTGTTTTCTCTGCTACCGCACGGCAAGCGGTACCGGAGCACCAAGTCTAGGTCCAAGAGGCTCCTTAACAGCTTCTACCCCCAAACCATAAGACTGATGAACAATTAATCAAATGGCCACCAGGACTATTTGCATTGACCCCCCCCCCCCCCCCCCCACCCATTTGTTTTTACACTGCTGCTACTCACTGTTTATTATCTATGCATAGTCACTTTACCCCTACCTACATGTACAAATCACCTCGACTAACCTGTACCCCTACACATTGACTCGGTACCGGTACCCCCTGTATATAGCCTCGTTATTGTTATTTTATTGTAACTTTTTTTTATTTATTTTTTAACTTTAGTTTATTTAGTAAATATTTTCTAAACTTTTTTTTCTTAAAACTACATTGTTGGTTAAGGGCTTGTAAGTAAGCATTTCACGGTATTCGGCGCATGTGACAAATACAATTTGATTTGATTTTCCACAACAATTTTAGCCCTTTTTGTTACATTCTTGGACTTCACCGTTGTCCACTTATCTTTGTCAATAACTGTAATCAATGTCCAATTTGTAAGTCGCTCTGGATAAGAGCGTCTGCTAAATGACGTAAATGTAAATGTAAATGTGCTTTTTTCATCTTCAAACAACACTTCTGCTTCCACCATCACAACTCCGGGCCTCACAGCGCATCTTCCCTCGACCACCCCTTCTCCACCCCTTCCCCTCGACCCTTCTCCACCCCTTCCCCTCGACCCTTCATCCCCTTCCCCTCGACCCTTCTCCACCCCTTCCCCTCGACCACCCCTTCTCCACCCTTCCCCTCGACCACCCCTTCTCACCTTCCCCTCGACCACCCCTTCTCCTTTCTGAAGTATCTCTGGTGCAGCTGAGCGCGAAGCGTCTTGGGAAGTGACGTTCTACAGAATCCTGCCTTCCGATTGGTCTAAAGTAAACCAACGACCTTTGACTCAACACGTGGTTTAAAAACTTGCGGGCGGAAATTTGTCAAAGATCTTTCAGACTGCACGCACTTTGTAGAAGTTTCTAACTTTACTTAGTGTTGTAGCTAATATTGGTCCTTTTTGATAGTTGTGTCTTCTACAAACGTGCGCTTGACGGGTAGATAAAACAGCAGCCAGGCAAGTCCCTGCTTCTCGTTGCATATTTTTACATTAGCTAGCTAACGATAGCTAGTTACGTTAGTAGTAGCAGTAGTAGTAGTGGTGGTGTGCACGCATGTTTCTGTGTAATATTGCCGCGTTCAAAACATCTGGGAACTCGAGAATCTCCAACTTCAGTGCGTTCAAGACAACTCAACATCCAACTCGGAATTTCAAGTCGGGAACTCGGGCCTCATGGTGATTTCAAGACATCTGGGAACTCGGAAAAATACGAGGGCAAATCATGACGTCAGTGATCTTCAGGTCGGAAAGTCGGAGCTCTAGAAAGAGGCCCGAGATTCCGAGTTGGATGACCGTTCAAAATGATTTTTCCCAGTCGGAGCTCGTTTTATTTCGAGTTCCCAGTTGTTTTGAACGCACTGAAGTCGGAGATTTCTGGGTTCCCATTTTCCGAGTTTCCAGTTGTTCTGAACGCAGCATCATTCTAGAGCGCCGACTTTAAGATCACTGACTTCATTATTTGAACTCGTTTTTTTTCCCGAGTTCCCAGTTGTCTTGAAAGCACCATATGAGTGTTGTAGGTAGTGATGATGATGATGATGATGATGAAGGTGTGCATCAGCATGACAGTGGTGGTGGTGATGAACATGTGTTTCTGTGCAGAATGAGTGTATTGGAGGTGAGGTTTGTGGGAGATGGAGACGCACTGGAACACATAGTGGACAAACAAGAAGGTAGGAGTCCGATCACACACACCATCACAAAGACCCATACACACACTGCTGACTCACTGATCTGTTGATTTTGCTGTGTGTAGGCGTGCGGGGCAGCCACAGCAGTGTGCAGAGTTTGGTGACTCTGAGGAGTGAAGCGGTGGGGAGCAGTAGAGAGGAGGAAGCAGACCTTAGTGAACTGCACTATGTCCAGGCCCTCGGAACTGACGGTGTGTGTCTCGGTCTGTCTGTCTGTCATCAACAAAACTTGGTGAACAGCCCTACTGACTGTGTATGTGTGTGTCCTGTCTGACTGTGTGTCCTGTCTGACTGTGTATGTGTGTATCCTGTCTGACTGTGTGTCCTGTCTGACTGTATGTGTGTATCCTGTCTGACTGTGTGTCCTGTCTGACTGTGTATCTGTGTGTCCTGTCTGACTGTGTATGTGTGTGTCCTGTCTGACTGTGTATGTGTGTGTCCTGTCTGACTGTGTGTCCTGTCTGACTGTATGTGTGTGTCCTGTCTGACTGTGTATGTGTGTGTCCTGTCTGACTGTGTGTCCTGTCTGACTGTGTATGTGTGTATCCTGTCTGACTGTGTATCCTGTCTGACTGTGTACGTGTGTATCCTGTCTGACTGTGTGTCCTGTCTGTGTGTGTGCAGAAGAGGGGGAGGAGTCTGTAGCAGCAGTAGGAGGAGCATCAGTGTTCACCTTTCAGACGGTCAAACGCTCCAACAGGATGTCCCAGAAGGGTAAGTCTCCCCAAACATTATAACATTATAACATAGTGACCGCTCTAACAATGGAAATGCATGTCCTCAAAGATGGAAGCCAGTCGAGAGGAGGCGAGATCAGGTGGGACCATTCTAGCCAATGAGGTCAGATCGGTCTGTGAACAACAGGCACAACTCCTATAAAGTAGTTTTTTCCAAAGTTACCGAAAGGCCACTTATATCAGTACATTTGTAACAACCTAACCAATACCAAGGCCCTCAAAATTGTCAAAGACTCCAGCCACCCTAGTCATAGACTGTTCTCTCTGCTACCGCACGGCAAGCGGTACCGGAGTGCCAAGTCTAGGTCCAAAAGACTTCTCAACAGCTTCTACCCCCAAGCCATAAGACTCCTGAACAGCTAATCATGGCTACCCGGACTATTTGCACTGCCCCCCCCATCCTTTTTACGCTGCTGCTACTCTGTTAATTATTTATGCATAGTCACTTTAACTCTACCCACATGTACATATTACTTCAACTACCTCAACTAGCCGGTGCCCCCGCACATTGACTCTGCACCGGTACCCCCCTGTATATATAGCCTCCCTACTGTTATTTTATTTTACTTCTGCTCTTTTTTTTTCTCAACACTTTTTTTGTTGTTTTATTTTTACTTTTTTTGTTAAAAATAAATGCACTGTTGGTTAAGGGCTGTAAGTAAGCATTTCACTGTAATGTCTGCACCTGTTGTATTCGGCGCATGTGACCAATAAAATTTGATTTGATTTCTATAAGTTCAGATAAGTCCCATACAAAAATCCCTCACTTCGTTATCTTATTTTCATGGACAGATTTTGGGCAGGGTAAACCCGCTCGCTTCTCCTCTTCCTCTCTGGTCTCTCTTTCTCTCTGGCTTGTAGAGTAAGAACTAGTGTGTGTGTGTGTGTGTGTGTGTAGCGACTGAGCTGGCTCGTACCCCAACGAGGAGTGTGACCTTCAGAACGACCCCTGACCCTTCTGGCCCCGCCCACAATGGCTGCAGTGAGTCCCTCTTTCATCCATCGTCCTTCCCTTTCTCTCATCCTCATCCTCTATCTATCCTATCTATCGCTCTATAGATCTATATCTCTCTCTATCCTATCTATCGCTCTATAGATCTATATCTCTCTCTATCCTATCTATCGCTCTATAGATCTATATCTCTCTATCCTATCTATCGCTCTATAGATCTATATCTCTCTCTATCCTATCTATCGCTCTATAGATCTATATCTCTTTTAGCTATTATCCTCTTTAGATCTTAATCTTCTACCATTACGCTCTATAGATCTATATCTCTCTTTATCCTATCTATCGCTCTATAGATCTATATCTATCTTATCCTATCTATCGCTCTATAGATCTATATCTCATACTATCCACGCTCTATAGATCATATCCTTCTCTATCCTATCTACGCTCTATAGATCTATTTCTCTATCTTGTATCTATCGCTCTTATGCTATATCTCTCTCTACCCTATCTATCGCTCTTAGATCTATATCCCCTCTCTACCTAGCATCGCTCATAGACCATATCTCTCTATCCATCTATCGTCATAGATCTATATCTCTCTCATCCTATCTACGCTATAGATCTATATCCTCTCTATCCATATATCGCTCTATAGATCTATATCTTCCTATCCTATCATCGCTTATAGATCTATATTCTTATCTATCCGATCTATGCTCTATAGATTATATCGTTCTTCCTATCTTATCGCTGAGACATATATATTCTCTCTCTTCCAGTAGATACACTCGCGGTATTCTACTTACAAAGTATGTAGTTCTGTAATTTGGGACGGATCTACAACCAGAAATCATTGATACTTTTTCAGTAATCTATTTGCTCTTCTTATGCATGGAGAAAGTATTTGATACATCAGAAAAGCAGAACTTAATATTTGGTACAGAAACCCTTTGTTTGCAATTACAGAGATCATACGTTTCCTGTAGGTCTTGGACCAGGTTTGCACACACTGCAGCAGGGATTTTTGGGCCCACTCCTCCATACAGACCTTCTCCAGATCCTTCAGGTTTCGTGGCTGTCGCTGGGCAATACGGACTTTCAGCTCCCTCCAAAGATTTCTATTGGGTTCAGGTCTGGAGACTGGCTAAGCCACTCCAGGACCTTGAGATGCTTCTTACGGAGCCACTCCTTAGTTGCCCTGGCTGTGTGTTTCGGGATCGTTGTCATGCTGGAAGACCCAGCCACGACCCATCTTCAATGCTCTTACTGAGGGAAGGAGGTTGTTGGCCAAGATCTCGCGATACATGGCCCCATCCATCCTCCCCTCAATACGGTGCAGTCGTCCTGTCCCCTTTGCAGAAAAGCATCCCCAAAGAATGATGTTTCCAACTCCATGCTTCACGGTTGGGATGGTGTTCTTGGGGTTGTACTCATCCTTCTTCTTCCTCCAAACACGGTGAGTGGAGTTTAGACCAAAAAGCTATATTTTTGTCTCATCAGACCACATGACCTTCTCCCATTCCTCCTCTGGATCATCCAGATGGTTATTGGCAAACTTCAGACGGGCCTGGACATGCGCTGGCTTGAGCAGGGGGACCTTGCGTGCACTGCAGGATTTTAATCCATGACGGCGTAGTGTGTTACTAATGGTTTTCTTTGAGACTGTGGTCCCAGCTCTCTTCAGGTCATTGACCAGGTCCTGCCGTGTAGGTCTGGGCTGATCCCTCACCTTCCTCATGATCATTGATGCCCCACGAGGTGAGATCTTGCATGGAGCCCCAGACCGAGGGTGATTGACCGTCATCTTGAACTTCTTCCATTTTCTAATAATTGCGCCAACAGTTGTTGCCTTCTCACCAAGCTGCTTGCCTATTGTCCTGTAGCCCATCCCAGCCTTGTGCAGGTCTACAATTTTATCCCTGATGTTCTTACACAGCTCTCTGGTCTTGACCATTGTGGAGAGGTTGGAGTCTGTTTGATTGAGTGTGTGTGTGGACAGGTGTCTTTTATACAGGTAACGAGTTCAAACAGGTGCAGTTAATACAGGTAATGAGTGGAGAACAGAAGGGCATCTTAAAGAAAAACTAACAGGTCTGTGAGAGCCGGAATTCTTACTGGTTGGTAGGTGATCAAATACTTATGTCATGCAATAAAATGCAAATTAATTACTTAATAATCATACAATGTGATTTTCTGGAATTTTGTTTTAGATTCCGTCTCTCACAGTTGAAGTGTACCTATGATAACAATTACAGACCTCTACATGCTTTGTAAGTAGGAAAACCTGCAAAATCGGCAGTGTATCAAATACTTGTTCTCCCCACTGTATATCTCTATCTATATATATATATATATATATATATATATATCATTTTACATTTACATTTTAGTCATTTAGCAGACGCTCTTATCCAGTTAGTGAGTGCATACATTCTATCTCTCTCTCTCTATATATATATATACATACATACATACATACATACATACATACATACATACATACATACATACATACATACATACATACATACATACATACATACATACATACATACACACACACACACCACACACACACACACACACACACACACACACACACACACCACACACACACACACACACACACACCACACACACACACACACACACACACACACACACACACACACACACACACACACACACACACACACAGTGAGGGGAAAAAAGTATTTGGCCCCCTGCTGATTTTGTACGTTTGCCCACTGACAAAGAAATGATCAGTCTATAATTTTAATGGTAGTTTTATTTGAACAGTGAGAGACAGAATAACAACAACAAAATCCAGAAAAACGCATGTCAAAAATGTTATAAATTGATTTGCATTTTAATGAGGGAAATAAGTATTTGACCCCCTCTCAATCAGAAAGATTTCTGGCTCCCAGGTGTCTTTTATACAGGTAACGAGCTGAGATTAGGAGCACACTCTTAAAGGGAGTGCTCCTAATCTCAGTTTGTTACCTGTATAAAAGACACCTGTCCACAGAAGCAATCAATCAATCAGATTCCAAACTCTCCACCATGGCCAAGACCAAAGAGCTCTCCAAGTATGTCAGGGACAAGATTGTACATTTACATTTATGTCATTTAGCAGACGCTCTTATCCAGAGCGATTTACAAATAGGTGCATTCACCTTACAGGCAGTGGGATAACCACTTTACAATGTATTTTTTTTTTCTTTTCTTTTTTTCTTTTTTTTTTGGGGGGGGGGTAGAAGGATTACTTTATCCTATCCCAGGTATTCCTTAAAGAGGTGGGGTTTCAAATGTCTCCGGAAGGTGGTGAGTGACTCCGCTGTCCTGGCGTCGTGAGGGAGCTTGTTCCACCATTGGGGTGCCAGAGCAGCGAACAGTTTTGACTGGGCTGAGCGGAAACTATGCTTGTAGACCTACACAAGGCTGGAATGGGCTACAAGACCATCGCCAAGCAGCTTGGTGAGAAGGTGACAACAGTTGGTGCGATTATTCGCAAATGGAAGAAACACAAAAGAACTGTCAATCTCCCTCGGCCTGGGGCTCCATGCAAGATCTCACCTTGTGGAGTTGCAATGATCATGAGAACGGTGAGGAATCAGCCCAGAACTACACGGGAGGATCTTGTCAATGATCTCAAGGCAGCTGGGACCATATTCACCAAGAAAACAATTGGTAACACACTACGCCGTGAAGGACTGAAATTCTGCAGCGCCCGCAAGGTCCCCCTGCTCAAGAAAGCACATACACAGGGCCGTCTGATGTTTGCCAATGAACATCTGAATGATTCAGAGGGCGGCAGGTAGCTTAGTGGTTAAGAGCGTTGTGCCAGTAACCGAAAGGTCGCTAGTTCTAATCCCCGAGCCGACTAGGTGAAAAATCTGTCGATGTGCCCTTGAGCAAGGCACTTAACCCTAATTGCTCCTGTAAGTCGCTCTGGATAAGAGCGTCTGCTAAATGACCAATTATTATTATTATTATTATTATTATTATTATTATTATTAACTGGGTGAAAGTGTTGTGGTCAGATGAGACCAAAATCGAGCTCTTTGGCATCAACTCAACTCGCTGTGTTTGGAGGAGGAATGCTGCCTATGACCCCAAGAACACCATCCCCACCGTCAAACGTGGAGGTGGAAACATTATGCTTTGGGGGTGTTTTTCTGCTAAGGGGACAGGACATCTTCACCGCATCAAAGGGATGATGGACGGGGCCATGTACCGTCAAATCTTGGGTGAGAACCTCCTTCCCTCAGCCAGGGCATTGAAAATGGGTCGTGGATGGGTATTCCAGCATGACAATGACCCAAAACACACGGCCAAGGCAACAAAGGACTGGCTCAAGAAGAAGCACATTAAGGTCCTGGAGTGGCCTAGCCAGTCTCCAGACCTTAATCCCATAGAAAATCTGTGGAGGGAGCTGAAGGTTCGAGTTGCCAAACGTCAGGCTCGAAACCTTAATGACTTGGAGAAGATCTGCAAAGAGGAGTGGGACAAAATCCCTCCTGAGATGTGTGCAAACCTGGTGGCCAACTACAAGAAACGTCTGACCTCTGTGATTGCCAAAAAGGGTTTTGCCACCAAGTACTAAGTTATGTTTTGCAGAGGGGTCAAATACTTATTTCCCTCATTAAAATGCAAATAAGCTTTTCTGGATCTTTTTGTTGTTATTCTGTCTCTCACTGTTCAAATAAACCTACCATTAAAATTATAGACTGATCATGTCTTTGTCAGTGGGCAAATGTACAAAATCAGCAGGGGATCAAATACTTTTTTCCCTCACTGTATATATCTCTTTATCCAAATGTATGATCAAGTGGATGATGTTGTCTCCATTTTGTCTCATGTTCTCCCTGTCTCTAGAGCATTCGAGTGAGACTCCTCAGAAGGTGAGTATTGGAGATAACCGATGTAGAGCCAGTTGTCACCTGACTTGGTGCCCGTACTGAGCTGTGACCTGTGTTACTTCCTGTTTCCTCTCAGGGCAGGAAGGGGCAGTTTGTTTCCACAACGCCCCACAGACTCAGGAAGAGACTCTCAGGTGAGAAACAAACAATCGGCTACTGACGTTGTAAATAAATGTTTGGGACATTCAATCAAATCTTTCAGCCATAACTATACTGAACAAAAATATAAACGCAACATGTAAAGTGTTGGTCCCCATGTTTCATGAGCTGAAATAAAAGATCCCAGAAAATGTTCCATACATACAAAAAGCTTATTTCTCTCACATTTTGTGCGCAAATTTCTTTACATCCCTGTTAGTGAGCATTTCTCATTTGCCAAGATAATCCATCCACCTGACAGGTGTGGCATATCAAGAAGCTGATTAAACAGCATGATCATTACACAGGTGCACCTTGTGCTGGGGACAATAAAAGGCCACTAAAATGTGCAGTTTTGCCACACAACACAATATTACAGGAGTCTCAAGTTTTGAGGGAGGGTGTAATTGGCATGCTGACTGCAGGAATGTCCAGCAGAGCTGCTGCCATAGAATTGAATGTTAATTTCTCTACCATAAGCCGCCTCCAACATTGTTTTAGAGAAATTGGCCGTATGACGTCGTGTGGGCGAGCGGTTTGCTGATGTCAACGTTGTGAACAGAGTGCCCTACGGTTGGGTTAAGGTGTGGGCAGGCATAAGCTACGGACAACTAACACAATTGCATTTTATCGATGGCAATTTGAATACACAGAGATACTGTGATGAGATCCTGAGGCCCATAGTCGTGCCATTCATCCGCCGCCATCACCTCATGTTTCACCATGATAATGCACGGTCCCATGTCGCAAGGATCTGTGCACAATTCCTGGAAGCTGAAAATGTCCCAGTTCTTCCATGGCCTGCATACTCACCAGACATGTCACCCATTGAGCATGTTTGGGATGTTCTGGATCAACGTGTACAATCGCGTGTTCCAGTTCCCGCCAATATCCAGCAACTTCGCACAGCCATTGAAGAGGAGTGGGACAACATTCCACAGGCCACAATCAACAGCCTGATCAACTCTATGCCAAGGAGATGTGTCACGCTGCATGAGGCAAATGGCGGTCACACCAGATACTGACTGGTTTTCTGTTCCACGCCCGTACTTTTTTAAAAAGGTATCTGTGACCAACAGATGCATCTCTGTATGACTGTAAGTCGCTTTGGATAAAAGCGTCTGCTAAATGGCTTATTATTATTATTATTATATTATTCCCAGTCATGTGAAATTCATAGATTAGGGCCTAATGAATTTATTTAAATTGACTTATTTCCTGATATGAACTGTAAATCTTTTAAATGGTTGGGTTTCTATTTTTGTTCAGTGTATTAAACCTAGTTCTGTCTGTCTGTTGTCTGTCTGTTGTCTGTCTGTTGTCTGTCTGTTGTCTGTCTGTTGTTTTAGCTCCCAGCCTGAGGTCTGACAGCGACAGCGAGCTCTCTCCCTCTGACTCTGGAGAGGATGATGATGATGAAGATGGGAAGGGAGAGGAGGAGCATGTGAAGGGAGAGGAGGAGGAGTCAGAGTCCAGCACACTCAGGAAGCTTCCAGCCACAGCTCTCTATAAGACGCCTGCCAAGAAGAGCAAGACCGCCCCAGAACCACCCAGCCAGGTCAGTCAGCGGCCAAGACCGCCCCAGAACCACCCAGCCAGGTCAGTCAGCGGCCAAGACCGCACCAGAACCACCCAGCCAGGTCAGCCAGGCAGACCGCCCCAGAACCACCCAGCCAGGTCAGTCAGCCAGCCAGGCAGACCGCCCCAGAACCACCCAGCCAGGTCAGTCAGGCAGACCGCCCCAGAACCACCCAGCCAGGTCAGTCAGTCAGCCAGGCAGACCGCCCCAGAACCACCCAGCCAGGTCAGTCAGTCAGCCAGGCAGACCGCCCCAGAACCACCCAGCCAGGTCAGTCAGGCAGACCGCCCCAGAACCACCCAGCCAGGTCAGTCAGTCAGCCAGGCAGACCGCCCCAGAACCACCCAGCCAGGTCAGTCAGTCAGCCAGGCAGACCGCCCCAGAACCACCCAGCCAGGTCAGTCAGCGGCCAAGACCGCCCCAGAACCACCCAGCCAGGTCAGTCAGTCAGCCAGGCAGACCGCCCCAGAACCACCCAGCCAGGTCAGTCAGTCAGCCAGGCAGACCGCACCAGAACCACCCAGCCAGGTCAGTCAGTCAGCCAGGCAGACCGCCCCAGAACCACCCAGCCAGGTCAGTCAGCCAGCCAGGCGACCGCCCAGAACCACCCAGCCAGGTCAGTCCAGCAGGCAGGCAGACCGCCCCAGAACCACCCAGCCAGGTCAGTCAGCCAGGCAGGCAGACCGCCCCAGAACCACCCAGCCAGGTCAGTCAGTCAGCCAGGCAGACCGCCCCAGAACCACCCAGCCAGGTCAGCAGGCAGACCGCCCCAGAACCACCCAGCCAGGTCAGTCAGCGGCCAAGACCGCCCCAGAACCACCCAGCCAGGTCAGTCAGCCAGCCAGGCAGACCGCCCCAGAACCACCCAGCCAGGTCAGTCAGCCAGCCAGGCAGACCGCCCCAGAACCACCCAGCTAGGTCAGTCAGCCAGCCAGGCAGACCGCCCCAGAACCACCCAGCCAGGTCAGTCAGCCAGCCAGGCAGACCGCCCCAGAACCACCCAGCTAGGTCAGTCAGGCAGACCGCCCCAGAACCACCCAGCCAGGTCAGTCAGCCAGCCAGGCAGACCGCCCCAGAACCACCCAGCTAGGTCAGTCAGGCAGACCGCCCCAGAACCACCCAGCCAGGTCAGTCAGGCAGACCGCCCCAGAACCACCCAGCCAGGTCAGCCAGCCAGCCAGGCAGACCGCCCCAGAACCACCCAGCCAGGTCAGCCAGCCAGCCAGGCAGACCGCCCCAGAACCACCCAGCCAGGTCAGCCAGCCAGGCAGGCAGACACTAGCCACTGGCAGCGGCAAGATTCTTTATTTGTATTTATTAGGGATCCCCATTACTACTCTTCCTGTGGTCCAACCATATTAAAGCACTTCAATTACACATAACAAAATATAAAACAGTACATCCATATAATATTATTACACCACTACATATCTACAATACAAAATGTATAATACTACCATACAACAATATCATAATGAATGCATGTGTCTGTACCTGTGTGTGTGTCTCTTCACAGTCCCCTCTGTTCCATAAGGTGTATTTTTACCTGTTTTTTAATCTGATTCTACTGCTTGCATCAGTTACCTGATGTGGAATAGAGTTCCATGTAGTCATGGCTCTATGTAGTACTGTGCACCTCCCATAGTCCACTGAACAGTAGTCCAGGTGTGACAAAACTAGGGCCTGTAGGACCTGCCTTGTTGATAGTGTTGTTAAGAATGCAGAGCAGCGCTTTATTATGGACAGACTTCTCCCCATCTTAGCTACTGTTGTATCAATATGTTTTGACCATGACAGTTTACAATCCCAGGATATTCCAAGCAGTTTAGTCTCCTCAACTTGCTAAATTTCCACATTATTCATTACAAGATTTAGTTGAGGTTTAGGGTTTCAGTGAATGATTTGTCCCAAATACAATGCTTTTAGTTTTGGAAATATTTAGGATTAACTTATTCCTTGCCACCCATTCTGAAACTAACTGCAGCTCTTTGTTAAGTGTTGCTGTCATTTCAGTCGCTGTAGTAGCTGACGTGTATAGTGTTGAGTCATCCACATACATAGACACTCTGGCTTTACTCAAAGCCAGTGGCATGTCATTAGTAAAGATTGAAAAAGTAAGGGTCCTAGACAGCTGCCCTGGGGAATTCCTGATTCTACCTGGATTATGTTGGAGAGGCTTCCATTAAAGAACACCCTCTGTGTTCTGTTAGACAGGTAACTCTTTATCCACATTATAGCAGGGGGTGTAAAGCCATAACACATACGTTTTTCCACCAGCAGACTATGATCGATAATGTCAAAAGCCGCACTGAAGTCTAACAAGGCATTACACACCACATACCAACATACATTATTTACATCAACAACATAGGAATCACTACAGAACTTATTGTATGACCTCTTATACACTATATTAGGCCCAGCCTTTGGAGCTTTGGTTTTCCTAGATATGGCTACTTTCTGGGTGATTTTAAATATTGACTGGCTGTCATCAAGCTGCCCACTCAAGAGAAAGCTTTAAACTGTAACCAGTGCCTCCAACCTGGTTCAGGTTATCAGCCAACCTACCAGGGTAGTTACAAACAATACAGGAATTAAATCATCAACATGTATTGATCATATCTTTACTAATGCTGCAGAGATTTGTTTGAAAGCAGTATCCAAATCCATTGGATGTAGTGATCACAATATAGTAGCCATATCTAGGAAAACCAAAGTTCCAAAGGCTGGGCCTAATATTGTGTATAAGAGGTCATACAATAAGTTTTGTAGTGATTCCTATGTTGTTGATGTAAATAATGTATGTTGGTCCGTGGTGTGTAATGATGAGCAACCAGATGCTGCACTTGACACATTTAAGAAATTGCTTATTCCAGTTACTAATAAGCATGCACCCATTAAGGAAATGACTGTAAAAACTGTGAAATCCCCTTGGATTGATGAGGAACTGAAAAATGGTATGGTTGAGAGGGATGAGGCAAAAGAGATGGCAAATAGGTCTGGCTGCACAACCGATTGGCAAACGTATTGCAAATTGAGAAATCATGTGACTAAACTGAATAAAAAGAACAAGAAACTACACTATGAAACAAGGATAAATTACATAAAGAATGATAGTAAAAAGCTTTGGAGCACCTTAAATACAATTTTGGGAAAAAAGGCAAACTCAGCTCCATCTTTCATTGAATCAGATGGCTCATTCATCACAAAACCCACTGATATTGCCAACTACTTTAATACCTTTTTCATTGACAAGGTTAGCAAACTAAGGCATGACATGCCAGCAACAATTGCTGACACTACACATCCAAGTATATCTGACCAAATTATGAAAGACAAGCATTGTAATTTTGAATTCTGTAAAGTGTGGAAGAGGTGAAAAAAGTATTATTGTCGATCAACAATGACAAGCCACCGGGGTCTGACAACTTGGATGGAAAATTGCTGAGGATAATAGCGGACGATATTGCTACTCCTATTTGCCATATCTTCAATTTAAGCCTACTAGAAAGTGTGTGCCCTCAGGCCTGGAGGGAAGCAAAAGCCACTCTGTTACCCAAGAATAGTAAAGCCCACTTTACTGGCTCAAATAGCCGACCAATCAGCCTGTTACCAACCCTTAATAAACCAAATAAAATGCTATTTTACTGTAAACAAATTGACAAGACTTTCAGCACGCTTATAGGGAAGGACATTCAACAAGCACAGCACTTACACAAATGACTGATGATTGGCTGAGAGAAATTGATGATAAAAAGATTGGGGGGGCTGTTTTGTTAGACTTCAGTGTGTCTTTTGACATTATCGATCATAGTCTGTTGCTGGAAAAACGTATGTGTTATGGCTTTACACCCCCTGCTATATTGTGGATAAAGAGTTACCTGTCTAACAGAACACAGAGGGTGTTCTTTAATGGAAGCCTCTCCAACAAAATCCAGGTAGAATCAGGAATTCCCCAGGGCAGCTGTCTAGGCCCCTTACTTTTTTCAATCTTTACTAATGAGTAAAGCAAGTGTGTCTATGTATGTGGATGACTCAACACTATACACGTCAGCTACTACAGCGACTGAAATGACTGTAACACTTAACAAAGAGCTGCAGTTAGTTTCAGAGTGGGTGGCAAGGAATAAATTAATCCTAAGTATTTCAAAAACTGAAAGCATTGTATTTGGGACAAATCATTCACTAAACCTCAATTACATCTCGTAATGAATAATGTGGAAATTGAGCAAGTTGAGGTGACTAAACTGCTTGGAGTAACCCTGGATTGTAGACTGTCATGGTCAAAGCATATTGATACAACAGAGGTGTCGACGTGCATACCGCACAAGACATGCCAGAGGTCTCTTCACAGTCCCCAAGTCCAGAACAGACTATGGGAGGTGCACAGTACTACATAGAGCCATGACTACATGGAACTCTATTCCACATCAGGTAACTGATGCAAGCCGTAAAATCAGATTAAAAAACAGGTAAAAATACAAACATACATATAGACACTCACTCTACACACACGTACACATGGATGTTGTATTGTAAATATGTGATAGTGGAGTAGTGGCCTGAGGGAACACACTAAATGTATTGGATAAAGTGTTATGAAATATAATGTCATGTAATATTTTTAATTGTATATAACTCCCTTAATGTTACAGGACCCCAGGAAGAGTAATGCTAATGGAGATCCTTAATAAATACAAAATACAAAAATACAATCAAGTTGTAGAAACATCTCAAGGATGGTCAAATGAAACAGGATGCACCTGAGCTCAATTCCGAGTCTCATAGCAAAGGGTCTGAAACATGAGGTGATGGCGGCGGATGAATGGCACGACTATGGGCCTCAGGATCTCGTCATGGTATCTCTGTGCATTCAAAGTGCCATCGACAAAATGCAATTGTGTTTGTTGTCTGTAACTTATGGCTGCCCATACCATAACCCCGCCACCACCATCTGTTCACAACGTTGACATCAGCAAGCTGCTGACGCCATACACATGGTATGCGGTTGTGAGGCCGGTTGGACGTACTGCCACATTCTCGAAAACAACGTTGGAAGGGGCTTATGGTAGAGAAATGAACATTAAATTATCTGGCAGTAGCGCTGGTGGACATTCCTGCAGTTAGCATGCTCCCTCAACTTGAGACTCCTGTGGCATTTTGTTGAGTGACAAAACTGCACATTTTAGTGGCCTTTTATTGTCCCCAGCACAAGGTGCACCTGTGTAATGATCATGCTGTTTAATCAGCTTCTTGATATGCCACACCTGTCAGGTGGATGGATTATCTTGGCAAAGGAGAAATACTCACTAACAGGGATGTAAACACATTTGTGCACAAAATGTGAGAGAAATGCATTTTGTGTGTATGGAACATTTCTGGGATCTTTTATTTCAGTTCATGAAACATGAGACCAACACTTTTTTTTATTTTTGTTGAGTGTAGTACTGTGCGCCTCCCATAGTCTGTTCTGGACATGGGGACTGTGAAGAGACCTCTGGTGGCATGTCTTGTGGGGTATGCATGGGGACTGTGAAGAGACCTCTGGTGGCATGTCTTGTGGGGTATGCATGGGGACTGTGAAGAGACCTCTGGTGGCATGTCTTGTGTGACATTGTTCTCTCGTTTGTAGCCCAGTCTGGTAGAGGAATACTTTGAGGCTCACGGCAGTTCTAAAGTCCTGACATCAGACCGAACCCTGCAGCGCCTACACACACCGAAACTTGACCGGGTGAGTACACACACCTAACCTAGACCGGGTGAGTACACACCCCTAACCTAACCTAGACCGGGTGAGTACACACCCCTAACCTAACCTAGACCGGGTGAGTACTCACCCCTAACCTAACCTAGACCGGGTGAGTACTCACCCCTAACCTAACCTAGACCGGGTGAGTACTCACCCCTAAACTAACCTAGACCGGGTGAGTACTCACCCCTAACCTAACCTAGACCGGGTGAGTACTCACCCCTAACCTAACCTAGACCGGGTGAGTACTCACCCCTAACCTAACCTAGACCGGGTGAGTACTCACCCCTAAACTAACCTAGACCGGGTGAGTACTCACCCCTAACCTAACCTAGACCGGGTGAGTACTCACCCCTAACCTAACCTAGACCGGGTGAGTACTCACCCCTAAACTAACCTAGACCGGGTGAGTACTCACCCCTAACCTAACCTAGACCGGGTGAGTACTCACCCCTAACCTAACCTAGACCGGGTGAGTACTCAACCCTAAACTAACCTAGACCGGGTGAGTACTCACCCCTAACCTAACCTAGACCGGGTGAGTACTCACCCCTAACCTAGACCAGGTGAGTACTCACCCCTAACCTAACCTAGACCGGGTGAGTACTCACCCCTAAACTAACCTAGGCCGGGTGAGTACTCACCCCTAAACTAACCTAGACCGGGTGAGTACTCACCCCTAACCTAGACCGGGTGAGTACTCACCCCTAACCTAGACCGGGTGAGTACTCACCCCTAACCTAGACCGGGTGAGTACTCACCCCTAACCTAACCTAGACCAGGTGAGTACTCACCCCTAACCTAACCTAGACCGGGTGAGTACTCACCCCTAACCTAACCTAGACCGGGTGAGTACTCACCCCTAAACTAACCTAGACCAGGTGAGTACTCACCCCTAACCTAACCTAGACTGGGTGAGTACTCACCCCTAACCTAGACCAGGTGAGTACTCACCCCTAACCTAGACCGGGTGAGTACTCACCCCTAACCTAACCTAGACCGGGTGAGTACTCACCCCTAACCTAACCTAGACCGGGTGAGTACTCACCCCTAACCTAACCTAGACCGGGTGAGTACTCACCCCTAACCTAACCTAGACCAGGTGAGTACTCACCCCTAACCTAACCTAGACCGGGTGAGTACTCACCCCTAACCTAGACCGGGTGAGTACTCACCCCTAACCTAACCTAGACCAGGTGAGTACTCACCCCTAACCTAACCTAGACCAGGTGAGTACTCACCCCTAACCTAACCTAGACCAGGTGAGTACTCACCCCTAAACTAACCTAGACCGGGTGAGTACTCACCCCTAAACTAACCTAGACCAGGTGAGTACTCACCCCTAACCTAGACCGGGTGAGTACTCACCCCTAACCTAACCTAGACCGGGTGAGTACTCACCCCTAAACTAACCTAGACCGGGTGAGTACTCACCCCTAACCTAACCTAGACCGGGTGAGTACTCACCCCTAACCTAGACCGGGTGAGTACTCACCCCTAACCTAACCTAGACCGGGTGAGTACTCACCCCTAACCTAGACCGGGTGAGTACTCACCCCTAACCTAGACCGGGTGAGTACTCACCCCTAACCTAACCTAGACCGGGTGAGTACTCACCCCTAACCTAACCTAGACCGGGTGAGTACTCACCCCTAACCTAACCTAGACCAGGTGAGTACTCACCCCTAACCTAACCTAGACCAGGTGAGTACTCACCCCTAACCTAGACCAGGTGAGTACTCACCCCTAACCTAGACCGGGTGAGTACTCACCCCTAACGTAACCTAGACCGGGTGAGTACTCACCCCTAACCTAACCTAGACCAGGTGAGTACTCACCCCTAACCCAGACCGGGTGAGTACTCACCCCTAGGAGATGTATGGAAGCTTGTAAACAACATTAATCTCATGTCTTGTGTGTAGGAGACATTGTTCCGTCTGTTAGAAGGGAAACAGTCGTGTTATTCTTCAGAGATTGAGAAGCTCCACTCCAGTCACCATAAACACTTTAACAAGTGGATGCTGCAGCTACAGTAAGGACCTGTTATATCATTATTACACCATGACAACGGCTACGTATGGACCTGTTATATCATTATTACACTATGGCAACGGCTACGTATGGACCTGTCATATCATTATACACTATGGCAACGGCTACGTATGGACCTGTCATATCATTATACACTATGGCAACGGCTACGTATGGACCTGTCATATCATTATACACTATGGCAACGGCTACGTATGGACCTGTCATATCATTATACACTATGGCAACGGCTACGTATGGACCTGTCATATCATTATACACTATGGCAACGGCTACGTATGGACCTGTCATATCATTATACACTATGGCAACGGCTACGTATGGACCTGTCATATCATTATACACTATGGCAACGGCTACGTATGGACCTGTCATATCATTATACACTATGGCAACGGATACGTATGGACCTGTCATATCATTATACACTATGGCAACGGCTACGTATGGACCTGTCATATCATTATACACTATGGCAACGGCTACGTATGGACCTGTCATATCATTATACACTATGGCAACGGCTACGTATGGACCTGTCATATCATTATACACTATGGCAACGGCTACGTATGGACCTGTCATATCATTATACACTATGGCAACGGCTACGTATGGACCTGTCATATCATTATACACTATGGCAACGGATACGTATGGACCTGTCATATCATTATACACTATGGCAACGGCTACGTATGGACCTGTCATATCATTATACACTATGGCAACGGCTACGTATGGACCTGTCATATCATTATACACTATGGCAACGGCTACGTACGCTGTCTGGCTAAACAGTGTGTGTGTGTGTGTTACTGCAGGCTGGGCTACAGTGTGTTACTAGATGTGTGTGTGTGTGTGTGTGTGTGTGTGTGTGTGTGTTACTGCAGGCTGGGCTACAGTGTGTTACTAGATGTGTGTGTGTGTGTGTGTGTGTGTGTTACTGCAGGCTGGGCTACAGTGTGTTACTAGATGTGTGTGTGTGTGTGTGTGTGTGTGTGTGTGTTACTGCAGGCTGGGCTACAGTGTGTTACTAGATGTGTGTGTGTGTGTGTGTGTGTGTGTTACTGCAGGCTGGGCTACAGTGTGTTACTAGATGTGTGTGTGTGTGTGTGTGTGTGTGTGTTACTGCAGGCTGGGCTACAGTGTGTTACTAGATGTGTGTGTGTGTGTGTTACTGCAGGCTGGGCTACAGTGTGTTACTAGATGTGTTTGTGTGTGTGTGTGTGTTACTGCAGGCTGGGCTACAGTGTGTTACTAGATGTGTGTGTGTGTGTGTGTGTGTGTGTGTGTGTGTGTGTTACTGCAGGCTGGGATACAGTGTGTTACTGTACGGGCTGGGCAGTAAGAAGGCTTTACTAGAGGAGTTCAGAGTGGCCCTGCTCTGTCAGGAGATGCACCTGGTTATCAACGGATTCTTCCCTTCCATCACTCTCAAATCAGTCAGTATAAAACACACCTACACACACACCTGTACACACAAACATCTCTACAGTGGCTTGCGAAAGTATTCACCCCCCCCCCCCCCCCCCCCTTGGCATTTTTCCTACTTTGTTGCCTTACAACCTGGAATTAAAATGGATTTTTTGGGGGGGTTGTATCATTTGATTTGCACAACATGCCTACCACTTTGAAGATGCAAAATATTTTTTGGGGTGAAACAAACAAGAAATAAGACCAAAAAAAAAACTTGAGCGTGCATAACTATTCACCCCCTCAAAGTCAATACTTTGTAGAGCCACCTTTTGCAGCAATTACAGCTGCAAGTCTCTTGGGGTATGTCTCTATAAGCTTGGCACATCTAGCCACTGGGATTTTTGCCCATTCTTCAAGGCAAAACTGCTCCAGCTCCTTCAAGTTGGATGGGTTCCGCTGGTGTGCAGCAATCTTTAAGTCATACCACAGATTCTCAATTGGATTGAGGTCTGGGCTTTGACTAAGCCATTCCAAGACATTTAAATGTTTCCCCTTAAACCACTCGAGTGTTGCTTTAGCAGTATGCTTAGGGTCATTGTCCTGCTGGAAGGTGAACCTCCGTCCCAGTCTCAAATCTCTGGAAGACTGAAACAGGTTTCCCTCAAGAATGTCCCTGTATTTAGCGCCATCCATCATTCCTTCATTTCTGACCAGTTTCCCAGTCTCTGCCGATTTAAAAACATCCCCACAGCATGATGCTGCCACCACCATGCTTCACTGTGGGGATGGTGTTCTCGGGGTGTTGGGTTTGCGCCAGACATAGCGTTTTCCTAGATGGCCAAAAAGCTCAGTTTTAGTCTCATGTGACCAGAGTACCTTCTTCCATATGTTTGGGGAGTCTCCCACATGGCTTTTGGCGAACACCAAACGTGTTTGCTTATTATTTTCTTTAAGCAATGGCTTTTTTTCTGGCCACTCTTCCCTAAAGCCCAGCTCTGTGGAGTGTACGGCTTAAAGTTGTCCTATGGACAGATACTCCAATCTCCGCTGTGGAGCTTTGCAGCTCCTTCAGGGTTATCTTTGGTCTCTTTGTTGCCTCTGATTAATACCCTCCTTGCCTGGTCTGTGAGTTTTGGTGGGCGGCCCTCTCTTGGCAGGTTTGTTGTGGTGTCATATTCTTTCCATTTTTTTATAATGGATTTAATGGTCCTCCGTGGGATGTTCAAAGTTTCCGATTTTTTTATAACAAACCCTGATCTGTACTTCTCCACAACTTTGTCCCTGACCTGTTTGGAGAGCTCCCTGGTCTTCATGGTGCCACTTGCTTGGTGGTGCCCCTTGCTTAGTGGTGTTGCAGACTCTGGGGCCTTCCAGAACAGGTGTGTGTGTATACAGTGGGGAGAACAAGTATTTGATACACTGCCGATTTTGCAGGTTTTCCTACTTACAAAGCATGTAGAGGTCTGTAATTTGTATCATAGGTACACTTCAACTGTGAGAGACGGAATCTAAAACAAAAATCCAGATTGTATGATTTTTAAGTAATTCATTTGCATTTTATTGCATGACATAAGTATTTGATCACCTACCAACCAGTAAGAATTCTGGCTCTCACAGACCTGTTAGTTTTTCTTTAAGAAGCCCTCCTGTTCTCCACTCATTACCTGTATTAACTGCACCTGTTTGAACTCGTTACCTGTATAAAAGACACCTGTCCACACACTCAATCAAACAGACTCCAACCTCTCCACAATGGCCAAGACCAGAGAGCTGTGTAAGGACATCAGGGATACAATTGTAGACCTGCACAAGGTTGGAATGGGCTACAGGACAATAGGCAAGCAGCTTGGTGAGAAGGCAACAACTGTTGGCGCAATTATTAGAAAATGGAAGAAGTTCAAGATGACGGTCAATCACCCTCGGTCTGGGGCTCCATGCAAGATCTCACCTTGTGGGGCATCAATGATCATGAGGAAGGTGAGGGATCAGCCCAGAACTACACGGCAGTACCTGGTCAATGACCTGAAGAGAGCTGGGACCACAGTCTCAAAGAAAACCATTAGTAACACACTACGCCGTCATGGATTAAAATCCTGCAGTGCACGCAAGGTCCCCCTGCTCAAGCCAGCGCATGTCCAGGCCCGTCTGAAGTTTGCCAATGACCATCTGGATGATCCAGAGGAGGAATGGGAGAAGGTCATGTGGTCTGATGAGACAAAAATAGAGGTTTTTGGTCTAAACTCCACTTGCCATGTTTGGAGGAAGAAGAAGGATGAGTACAACCCCAAGAACACCATCCCAACCGTGAAGCATGGAGGTGGAAACATCATTCTTTGGGGATGCTTTTCTGCAAAGGGGACAGGACGACTGCACCGTATTGAGGGGAGGATGGATGGGGCCATCAACCTCCTTCCCTCAGTAAGAGCATTGAAGATGGGTCATGGCTGGGTCTTCCAGCATGACAACGACCCGAAACACACAGCCAGGGCAACTAAGGAGTGGCTCCGTTAGAAGCATCTCAAGGTCCTGGAGTGGCCTAGCCAGTCTCCAGACCTGAACCCAATAGAAAATCTTTGGAGGGAGCTGAAAGTCCGTATTGCCCAGCGACAGTCCCGAAACCTGAAGGATCTGGAGAACGTCTGTATGGAGGAGTGGGTCAAAATCCCTGCTGCAGTGTGTGCAAACCTGGTCAAGACCTACAGGAAACGTATGATCTCTGTAATTGCAAACACAGGTTTCTGTACCAAATATCAAGTTCTGCTTTTCTGATGTATCAAATACTTATGTCATGCAATAAAATGCAAATTAATTACTTAAAAATCAAACAATGTGATTTTTCTGGATTTTTGTTTTAGATTCCGTCTCTCATAGTTGAAGTGTACCTATGATAAAAATTACAGACCTCTACATGCTTTGTAAGTAGGAAAACCTGCAAAATCGGCAGTGTATCAAATACTTGTTCTCCCCACTGTATATACTGAGATCATGTGACAGATCATTGCACACAGGTGGACTTTATTTAACTAATTATGTGACTTCTGAAGGTAATTGGTTGCACCAGATCTTATTTAGGGGCTTCATAGCAAAGAGGGTGAATACATATGCACGCACCACTTTTCCGTTATTTATTTTTTGAAGCATTTTTTTCATTTCACTTCACCAATTCGGACTATTTTGTGTATGTCCATTACATGAAATCCAAATAAAAATCAATTTAAATTACAGGTTGTAATGAAACAAAATAGGAAAAACGCCAAGGGGGATGAATACTTTTGCAAGGCACTGTACACACACACACACACACACACACACACACACACACACACACACACACACACACCTGTACACAACCCTCCACCCCTCTGATTGTCTCCTCCCTTCCTGTAGATCCTGACTGCTCTGTCTGCAGAGCTTCTAGAACACCAAGGAACGTTCCGGAACCCTGCTGACCAACTACAGTACATCACCACCACCCTCAGAGAACGTGTGTAAAACGTTGATCCACAACATGCATGGACCCGTGTGTGTAAAACGTTGATCCACAACATGCATGGACCCGTGTGTGTAAAACGTTGATCCACAACATGCATGGACCCGTGTGTGTAAAACGTTGATCCACAACATGCATGGACCCGTGTGTGTAGACGTTGATCCACAACATGCATGGACCCGTGTGTAAAACGTTGATCCACAACATGCATGGACCCGTGTGTGTAAAACGTTGATCCACAACATGCATGGACCCGTGTGTGTAAAACGTTGATCCACAACATGCATGGACCCGTGTGTGTAAAACGTTGATCCACAACATGCATGGACCCGTGTGTGTAAAACGTTGATCCACAACATGCATGGACCCGTGTGTAAAACGTTGACCCACAACATGCATGGACCCGTGTGTAAAACGTTGACCTGTGTGTGTGTGTCCATCTGAAGTGTCTGTATCTCTGACGTGTGTCATCAGAGCCGGACCTCCATGTGTACCTGTTGATCCACAACATTGACGGTCCCATGCTCCGCGGAGAGAGGACCCAGAATGCACTGGGCCAACTGGCCTCACTACCCAACCTGCACCTTGTCGCCTCCATCGACCACATCAACGCACCGCTCGGTACGGTACATTGTGTGACTTTAGTTTTTGTACCTCCCATTTGTCCTGCATTAAAGGGTCTTACGACAGATGTAGTGTATATGAAGGTGGGACCAGTGTAAGCTGAGTCAGTTTAACTGGGTGTGTGTGTGTGTGTGTGTGTGTGTGTGTGTGTGTGTGTGTGTGTGTGTGTGTGTGTGTGTGTGTGTGTGTGTGTGTGTGTGTGTGTGTGTGTGTGTGTGTGTGTGTGTGTGTGTGTGTGTGTGTGTGTGTGTGTGTGTGTGTGTGTCTCCCTGCAGTGTGGGACCAGTGTAAGCTGAGTCAGTTTAACTGGTTGTGGTGGGAGTGTGTGTGTTTCCAGCACTATGTGGAGGAGACGTCCTATGAGAACTCTCTCCTGGTTCAACAGACTGGAGCCCTCGCCCTCTCCTCCCTCACACACGTCCTACGCAGCCTTACGGCTAACGCCAGGTACGCACACGTCCTACGCAGCCTTACGGCTAACGCCAGGTACGCACACGTCCTACGCAGCCTTACGGCTAACGCCAGGTACGCACACGTCCTACGCAGCTTTACGGCTAACGCCAGGTACGCACACGTCCTACGCAGCCTTACGGCTAACACCAGGTACACACACTACAGCTAACGTCTTACAGCTAACGGCAGGTGCGCACGCTACGGCTAACGGCAGGTGCGCACGCTACGGCTAACGGCAGGTGCGCACGCTACGGCTAACGGCAGGTGCGCACGCTACGGCTAACGCCAGGTACAAACACACTGCAGCTAACACCAGGTACACACACTGCAGCTAACACCAGGTACACACACTGCAGCTAACACCAGGTACACACACTACAGCTAACACCTTATGGCTAACACCAGGTACACACACTACAGCTAACACCAGGTACACACACTACAGCTAACACCTTATGGCTAACACCAGGTACACACACTACAGCTAACACCAGGTACACACACTACAGCTAACACCAGGTACACACACTACAGCTAACACCTTATGGCTAACACCAGGTACACACACTACAGCTAACGCCAGGTACACACACTGCAGCTAACGCGTTACAGCTAACACCAGGTACACACACTACAGCTAACACCAGGTACACACACTGCAGCTAACGCCTTGCTGCTAACGCCAGGTACACACACTACAGCTAACACCAGGTACACACACTGCAGCTAACGCGTTACAGCTAACACCAGGTACACACACTGCAGCTAACACCAGGTACACACACTGCAGCTAACGCGTTACAGCTAACACCAGGTACACACACTGCAGCTAACACCAGGTACACACACTACAGCTAACACCAGGTACACACACTGCAGCTAACACCAGGTACACACACTGCAGCTAACGCGTTACAGCTAACACCAGGTACACACACTGCAGCTAACACCAGGTACACACACTACAGCTAACGCGTTACAGCTAACACCAGGTACACACACTGCAGCTAACACCAGGTACACACACTACAGCTAACACCAGGTACACACACTGCAGCTAACGCGTTACAGCTAACACCAGGTACACACACTGCAGCTAACGCCAGGTACACACACTGCAGCTAACGCCAGGTACACACACTGCAGCTAACGCCAGGTACACACACTACAGCTAACGCCAGGTACACACACTGCAGCTAACACCAGGTACACAACACGTTATCGCAGCATTTGTTTTTCTGTATTGTGATGTTTGGATAACGTTTGATTTGATTCTAATGGTATTGTGTGATTGGATAACGTGTGATTTGATTCTAATGGTATTGTGTGATTGGATAACGTGTGATTTGATTCTAATGGTATTGTGTGATTGGATAACGTGTGATTTGATTCTAATGGTATTGTGTGATTGGATAACGTGTGATTTGATTCTAATGGTATTGTGTGATTGGATAACGTGTGATTTGATTCTAATGGTATTGTGTGATTGGATAACGTGTGATTTGATTCTAATGGTATTGTGTGATTGGATAACGTGTGATTTGATTCTAATGGTATTGTGTGTTTGGATAACGTTTGATTTGATTCTAATGGTATTGTGTGATTGGATAACGTTTGATTTGATTCTAATGGTATTGTGTGATTGGATAACGTGTGATTTGATTCTAATGGTATTGTGTGATTGGATAACGTGTGATTTGATTCTAATGGTATTGTGTGATTGGATAACGTGTGATTTGATTCTAATGGTATTGTGTGATTGGATAACGTGTGATTTGATTCTAATGGTATTGTGTGATTGGATAACGTGTGATTTGATTCTAATGGTATTGTGTGATTGGATAACGTGTGATTTGATTCTAATGGTATTGTGTGATTGGATAACGTGTGATTTGATTCTAATGGTATTGTGTGATTGGATAACGTGTGATTTGATTCTAATGGTATTGTGTGATTGGATAACGTGTGATTTGATTCTAATGGTATTGTGTGATTGGATAACGTTTGATTTGATTCTAATGGTATTGTGTGATTGGATAACGTTTGATTTGATTCTAATGGTATTGTGTGATTGGATAACGTTTGATTTGATTCTAATGGTATTGTGTGATTGGATAACGTGTGATTTGATTCTAATGGTATTGTGTGATTGGATAACGTGTGATTTGATTCTAATGGTATTGTGTGATTGGATAACGTGTGATTTGATTCTAATGGTATTGTGTGATTGGATAACGTGTGATTTGATTCTAATGGTATTGTGTGATTGGATAACGTGTGATTTGATTCTAATGGTATTGTGTGATTGGATAACGTGTGATTTGATTCTAATGGTATTGTGTGATTGGATAACGTGTGATTTGATTCTAATGGTATTGTGTGATTGGATAACGTTTGATTTGATTCTAATGGTATTGGTGTGATTGGATAACGTGTGATTTGATTCTAATGGTATTGTGTGATTGGATAACGTGTGATTTGATTCTAATGGTATTGTGTGATTGGTCTACAGGGGCATCTTTAAACTGCTGGTGGAATTCCAACTGGAGAACAAAGACAACTCTTCATACACAGGTACACACACCACACACACCACACACACACACACCACACACACACACCCCACACACACACACACACACCCCCCACACACCACCACACACACACACCACCACACACCACCAAACAAACCCACCACACACACACACCACATCAACACACACCACACACACCCCCCACACACACCACACCACACACACACACCCACACACACCAACACCACCACACACACAACACACACACCACACACACACACACACCTACACACACCACACACACACACACCACACACACCACACCACCACACCACACACCACACACCACACCAACACATCCACACACATCACACCACACACACACACCACACACACACACCACACACACACACCAACACACACACACCACACACCACACACACACCACACACCACACACACACACACACCACACACACCAACACACACACACACACACACATCCACACCACCCACCACACACACACACCACACCACACACACCACACACACCACCACACACAACCCACACACACACCACACACACCACACACACACACACACACCACACACCACACACACACACACCACACACACCACACCACACACACCACACACACACACCCACACACACCACACACCACCACACAACACACACACCCACACACACACACCACACACCACACACCACCACCACACCACCACCACACACACACACACAACCTCAACCCCCTCCTACAACCCTTTCAGAGTGATTGTTTTAACGTGTGTGTAGGCTTGTCGTTCCAGGACTTCTACCAGCGTTGTCGGGAAGCCTTCCTGGTGAACTCTGACCTCACACTGCGGACCCAGCTCACAGAGTTCAGAGACCACAAACTCATCCGCACACGGAAGGTACACACACACACACACACACACACACACACACACACACACTGCTACAAACTGAAACTGACTCCTTTTCCTATGATCCCTCAGGGTGCTGATGGGGTTGAGTACCTGTTGGTTGCTGTGGAGACCAGCACGCTGACTGACTTCCTGGAGAAAGAGGAAGTAGAGTGAGGAGAGGGGAGGAGCAGCCAGCATGTTCCATCTTTGTCACTTCCATTGAAACGAAGAGTACTGGGCCTCCGAGGGTTAGAGAACTGGGAGTCGTATTTTATTTTAGATCATAATGATTAAGATTACAGGGACAACCTGATCCTAGCTCAGCACATGGCCCTGATCACATTGGTGTTAGCTAATTACCAGAGGGACCACTGCCTGTAGCTAGCTTCATCTGCTCTCTTTAGGCCAAAGTAAATTCCCACAATGTTGCTTTGACCTGGCCTTTTCAGTGCGGCGGATGGACACATTCCCTGTGTGTGTTTGTGATGACTGTTGCTTAGTCTTGTCATTGACCACCTCTTTGAAAAGCTGTAGCTCTGTTGTTTACTGAACCTACAGACACACTGTTGTCTATGTCTAAACTGTTGTATGAATTGTCAACTCTTCACATTCAGTAAAAAATATTTTTGCATTTCAGTATCTTTATTTACACAAAGCAGTTAGCGAAAATTCACTCTGATTTAAGAAAAGGCAGACCGAATACGTGCTGGTAGAGAATATAGAAAGCAACGTGCTGGTTTTATGACTTCGGCCCATCACCTAATTTCTATGAGACAGACCAGAGTTTCTCAACCCAGAGGAGCAACATCGTGAGACTTCCGGGAACGCTTTGCGAAACGGACCCAACAGACCAGGTTTGAGAATCAATGAGATTAGTGAAAAATGGTCCCTTAGTTAATTTTCTCGACATCTAAAGGCACAATCTAGATTGGAGTCAATGTCTTAAGTAGTTGAACGTTATTACTCCAACCTCATGAAAGTGACAAACTGACACGTTTTCATTTTCGTGAAAGTCAACTTCATATTGAAGGAGTATCTTTGATTTGACGGCCTGCAGTTCGGCGTCAGACAGGATGACGTGTTTCTACGCATGAACTTTGCTAGCCAATGTCGCCATGACATCGCCTAATTGGGGATTTCTATTGGAGAAGCAGTTTTTAGCAAAGACGGTACTGTAAAAAGACCCCATTACTATACTGAACAAAAATATAAACACAACCGGGAAAGTGGTTGGTTTCATGAGCTGAAATAAAAGACCCCAGAAATGTTCCATACACACAGAAAGCTTATTTCTCTCAAATTTTGTGCACAAATGTGTTTACATCCCTGTTATTGAGCATTTCTCCTTTGCCAAGATAATCCATCCACCTGACAGGTGTGGCATATCAAGAAGCTGATTAAACGGCATGATCATTACACAGGTGCACCTTGTGCTGGGGACAATAAAAGGCCACTCTAAAATGTGCAGTTTTGTCACACAATAAAATGCCACATATGTCTCAAGTTTTGAGTGAGCGTGCAATTGGCATGCTGACTGCAGGAATGTCCACCAGAGCTGTTGCCAGAGAATTGAGGAGACATATATATGATTGAGGAGAATAAAAACAATCCCAAATGTATTTTTGATGCTGTCGTAAAGCTAACTAAAAAGCAGCATTCCCCAATAGAGGATGGCCTTCACTTCAGCAGTGATGAATACATGAACTTCTTAGACGAAAAGATCATGATCATTAGAAAGCAAATTACGGACTCTGCGTTATCTCCAAAACTCAGTTGTCCTGAGTCTGCACAGAACTGCCAGGACCAGGATCAATTGAGACACTTTTTAATCCTGTATCTGTCGAAACAGTCACGAAAACAGCTGTGGCATCTAAACCTTCCAGCTGCCTATTCCAACTAAACTACTGAAAGAGCTACTTCCTGGTCTTGGCCCTCCGATGTTGAACATAATAAATGTCTCCCTATCCTTATCCGCAGTTATAAAGCCTCTCCTGAAAAGCCAAACCTTGACCCAGAAAATTAACACAATTATTGAATCTCACATTACTCAATTTTTTTGGGGGAAAAAGTCACTGCCTTCCTGAAGACAGATAATGTATGCGAAATGCTCCAGTCTGGTTTTAGACCCCATCATAGCACTGAGACTGCACTCCTGAAGGTGGTAAATGACCTTTTAATGGCGTCAGACCAAGGCTCTGCATCTATCCTTGCGCTCCTAGACCTTAGTGCTGCTTTTGACACCATCGATCACCACATTCTTTTGGAGAGATTGGAAGCCCTAATTGGTCGACACGGACAAGTTCTTGCCTGGTTTAGATCTTATCTGTCGGAAAGATATCAGTTCGTCTCTGTGGATGGTTTGTCCTCTGACAAATCAATGGAAAGTTTTGGTGTTCCTCAAGGTTCTGTTTTAGGACCACTGTTGTTTTCACTATATTCTACCTCTTGGTGATGTCATTCGCTAACACAATGTCAACTTTCACTGCTATGCGGACGACACACAGCTGAAACATGGTGAATCCCCAAAATGTCCTACCCTGGAAGCCTGTGTTTCAGACACAAGGAAGTGGATGGCGGCAAATGTTTTACTTTTAAACTCGGACAAAACAGAGATGCTACTGTAGTTCTAGGTCCCAAGAAACAAAGAGATCTGCTGTTGGATCTGACAATTAATCTTGACGTTTGTCCAGTCTCTGGTGTCCTGTGGTCTCTGGTCTCTGGTGTCTGGTGTCTGGTGTCTGGTCTCTGGTGTCTGGTCTCTGGTCTCTGGTGTCTGGTCTCTGGTGTCTGGTCTCTGGTCTCTGGTCTCTGGTGTCTGGTGTCTGGTCTCTGGTGTCTGGTGTCTGGTCTCTGGTGTCTGGTCTCTGGTGTCTGGTGTCTGGTGTCTGGTGTCTGGTGTCTGGTCTCTGGTGTCTGGTGTCTGGTCTCTGGTGTCCTGTGGCCCTCTAACTACCTGGCCTGATGACTCCTGGCCGTCCCCAGTCCACCTGGTGACTCCTGGCCGTCCCCAGTCCACCTGATGACTCCTGGCCGTCCCCAGTCCACCTGGTGACTCCTGGCCGTCCCCAGTCCACCTGATGACTCCTGGCTGTCTCCAGTCCACCTGGTGACTCCTGGCTGTCCCCAGTCCACCTGGTGACTCCTGGCCGTCCCCAGTCCACCTGGTGACTCCTGGCCGTCCCCAGTCCACCTGATGACTCCTGGCTGTCTCCAGTCCACCTGGTGACTCCTGGCTGTCCCCAGTCCACCTGGTGACTCCTGGCCGTCCCCAGTCCACCTGGTGACTCCTGGCCGTCCCCAGTCCACCTGATGACTCCTGGCCATCCCCAGTCCACCTGATGACTCCTGGCTGTCTCCAGTCCACCTGATGACTCCTGGCTGTCCCCAGTCCACCTGATGACTCCTGGCTGTCCCCATGGCCATGTACTCTTTTAATCTCCACCCAGCACAGCCAGAAGAGGACTGGCCACCCCTCAGAGCATGGTTCCTCTTTAGGTTTCTTCCTAGGTTCCTGCCTTTCTAGGGAGTTTTTCCTAGCCACTGTGCTTCTACATCTGCATTGCTTGCTGTTTGGGGTTTTAGACTGGGTTTCTGTATAAGCACTTTGTGACATCAGCTTATGTAACAAGGGTTTTATAAATCTATTTGAATTCCAAGTCTGAAACTCTGGCATCTTTCTAGAGCTCGGACTTTCTGACCTGAAGATCACAGACGTCATGATCTGACCTTGTTTTTTTCAGAGTTCCCAGTTGTCTTGAAGCACCTAGCCCTTGACTCTCAGTTCCATTACATTACACATAAGAGTCATTGGACGAAGGCATCTTCTGTAGTGGCCGGGGGGAGTTTTGTTAAGACACAAATCGCTTGCGGTACGGTTTTAGAAGCATATCGGTGAGAACTATTATATATTTTTTTTAAAGGTTAAATTGATACACACCTTGATAGGGTTAGGGTTCCCACGTGGCCATATCTCCATGTCACAGAGCTTGTTTACGGAAAACAAACAGAAGACAGAGGGGACTACCTGTGCTAATTAGCTATCCAGAGGGGACTACCTGTTCTAATTAGCTATCCAGAGGGGACTACCTGTGCTAATTAGCTATCCAGAGGGGACTACCTGTGCTAATTAGCTATCCAGAGGGGACTACCTGTGCTAATTAGCTATCCAGAGGGGACTACCTGTGCTAATTAGCTATCCAGAGGGGACTACCTGTGCTAATTAGCTATCCAGAGGGGACTACCTGTGCTAATTAGCTATCCAGAGGGGACTACCTGTGCTAATTAGCTATCCAGAGGGGACTACCTGTGCTAATTAGCTATCCAGAGGGGACTACCTGTGCTAATTAGCTATCCAGAGGGGACTACCTGTGCTAATTAGCTATCCAGAGGGGACTACCTGTGCTAATTAGCTATCCAGAGGGGACTACCTGTGCTAATTAGCTATCCAGAGGGGACTACCTGTGCTAATTAGCTATCCAGAGGGGACTACCTGTGCTAATTAGCTATCCAGAGGGGACTACCTGTGCTAATTAGCTATCCAGAGGGGACTACCTGTTCTAATTAGCTATCTGTATCGCCGAACACCTGTATGTAAACTGAAGACAGATGCCACCAACGTGTTGTCACTGAACAATTCTGTCAGCTGCAACTTTGTTAATACAGTGTACAGTAAATGTGTATTTTGCATTTGTGAAATTATTTTGATGTGATATGAAAGTAGATGGCTTTATGTTTCTAGAACCGTACTGCTGTTGACAATCGATTCACGTTTAGATGGAGTATTTGTCTGTATTTAAACAGAAAAGGTCCTTGGACTATGGAGTAACGTAAGGCCCAAAAAGCACAGAGTCGAGAAACCTGCCTATTTTCCTCGAAAGTAGTAATGTCACGATTTCAAGGCTATACGATATTACAGAGAACAAGTTAATTATCTTACATCTCAGAAAAGATTCGGAATGTTGTACTTCTTGTTCACGTAATTCATGCTGATGTTGGGTTTTTGAGAGAGCGCCCAATTGACTCCCATTCACTCCTTGAAGGAGAGGTAGAATGCACAGCAGCACAGTGATGAAGAATGGGCAATGTACACAAAGGCGGTTTAAAGGAACACTCGGGATTGTGTCAATGAAGGCCTTTATCTACTTCCCCAGAGTCAAATGAACTTGTGGATACCATTTTTATGTCTCGGCGTGCAGTTTGAATAAACTTGCTAACTAGCATTAGCGCAATGACTAGAAGTCTATGGTAACTGCTAGCATGCTAGTGGATACTATAGACTTCCAGTCATTGTGCTAACGCTAACTAGCATTAGCTCACGAAACTATCTGTACCTTCCTTCATACTGGATGCAGAGACATACCATTGTCATCCATGAGCTCATCTACTGGGGAGGTAGATAAAGGGCTTCATTGACAAAATCACCAAGTTTCCCTTTAATACGATTCCAATGGAGTTTCCCATCACAAAAGTATCTCTGGCTGCACTTTTCTTTCTACAGTTTCTTCAGTTTGACTGTCACTGTGTGTTGTAATATCCACAGAGTTTCTAAACCCAGAGGCGCAACATCACGAGACTTTTGGAAATGCTTGTGAAGCAGACTTGGCAGACCAGACGGGTTTGGCAAGTCAAT